GTGGAGATTCCTCTTCCTTAAGTGTGCTCTCTGCTGAGGCCGTTGATGCTGCTGCACAGCCGGCACTGCCAGGTGGAGCACTGGAGGCTGACGTGCCCGGAGTGGCTGCAAGAATCCAAACACCTTGTGGTCAGGCTCCAGAATGTGGCTTTGGGATGCAGAGCTCTACTGCTGCCTTGGATGCAACATTTTCACAGGAAAACCAGACAGAGATCTGAAATCTTTTCGCCTTCTAGAACCCCCTTCCTAGCAGGCTTAACAATTTCTGTCTCAGAATGACACAGCATTGTGGGAAAATACTTCCAACCGCCAATTTTCAGGACCTTTTGGAAAAGCAAAGCTAGAATTCTTTTCCTACCTGGTGGGTTGTAGGCTGGGGGCTGCTGCTCCCTGTGGAGCTGCTGGAAGCTGCAGGGCTGGATCCTGACCACCTCCCGGTTGGCCGGAGGCAGCTGCTCCCCACAGAGCTCCTGGAAGTGGCTGGGGGGCCCCTCCCGGCCGAGAAACAGCGGCCGCTCCCCGTGGAGCCCGAGCAAGTCGCAGGGCGGGACTCGGAGCAGCTCCCGCTCGGCGGGCAGCGGCCGCTCCCCGTAGAGCTCCTGGAAACGGCTCGGCCCCTCGCAGCGGGCCGGTCCCGGCCGGTCCCTGTGCAGCAGGTGGAAGCCGCAGGGCGGGCGCCGGGTGAGCAGCGGCCGCTCCTTGGGGGGCTGCTGGAAGCGGCCGGGCCGGGGCCTGCGCAGCTCCCGCCAGTCCGGCAGCGTTCGCTCTCTGTGCAGCAGGAGGAAGCCACTGGGCAGGGGCCTGGGCGGCAGCGGCGGCCGCTCCTTGGGGAGCGCCTTGAAGCGACTGCGTCTCTCCCGCCCGTCCGGCAGCGGCCGCGCCCTCGGGAGCTGCCGGCAGCACCTGCGCCTGTCCCCGCCCGCTGTCTCCTGCAGCCTGTTGGCCGCGGTCCGGCGCTTGATGCGGACCAGGAGCTCGGGGCGGTCGCGGCGAAACCAGGGGTTTGTGTAGTGGAGCCAGGCCCCGGCATCACCCGGCGCAGCCGCGCCAGCACGGCCCGGCACCTTGCGGAAGCCGTAGCGGTAGAGCTGGCGCACGAAGCTGCGGAACTGAGTGGCTCTGAAGGTGTGCGGGGCTGGCCCCTGGTCGCCGCCCGGGCTGAGCAGCTCCCGCTCGAAGAGGGAGCGGTCAATGAGCAGCCCCTGGGCCTGGCTGTCCCAGCGCACGGAGCGGACGCGGGGGCTGTTCACCAGGCGCCACAGCTTGGCGGGGAAGGTTCTGGCATTGAGCCCGGCGGGTAGCGGCAGCTCCGCCATGGCGCCGATCGCCGACTGCTCGCCACAACGGCCGCGGCGCAACGGCCTCAGCCGCACCGGCGGCGCGCGGCCCGAAGGGGGGCGCTGCGCTCGGGCCCACGCGCGCCGGGCGCGGCCCCGGCACGGGCCGGACTCGGTGGGGACAAGCGCGGCAGAGCCGGGGCTGCGGGCACAGCGCGGCGGCTCCGCGGGCTGGCCGGACACGGCCGGGGAGGGGAAGGCCCTGGAGAGGGCTCTGGGAGCACTGGCAAGCTCTAGCCCCACAATGTATCGCATCCCTGCATCACTGTTGGTGACAGAGGGAAAGGATGTCTTCGTTGCCTTCTGTCTTCGTTGGGGAATGGATGAAAAGGGGATGTTAGAAAACATTCTTTTGGCCTCCTTTTCAGCAGACTAGCTGGTTTTTTTCTGGCCATCTCTGCCTGTCTTTGGCAGAAGCAGCACATTTCTAGTTACTTGGAGTCAGCAGCAGCAGGAAGGGGCAGCAGTTCTGTCAGCATTGACATCAAAGCTAAAGTGCTGCACCATGGATGGGTGTTGCTTTATGCAAGGGATTCTTGGCATGTAGTTGTCGCAATCTCACGCTGGTGTTTTCACAAATAGGGTTGCATGTTCTTTCTTCAGGAATTACCTCTTTCCTCTGATCTTAGGAGAGTTCAAATACAAATGCCTCCTGCAGCCAACTCTTGTCAATGTAGACTGACAAAGGAGATCTTGCAATGGAGAGACACCCCCTAGAGCTCCTGTGGAGAGATGCAGGAGGAAGTTTTTTCCCTTTGATTTGAAGTCTCGTTGGGAAGCTGCTTGTGCTTTGGGGGACACACACCAATAATGTTTATCCTAGCCTTGGAGGTTCATTCCTGTGCTTCCTGACACCATAGAGACTTAGAGGCTGTTGTGCTGGGGCAGAAATTTCTGTCTGGGAACTTTTTGAAATGCTTCCATTATTCTTCTTTTTTTTTCTTTTTTTTTTCTTCTTTCCCCCCCCCCCTTTTTTTTTTTTTCTCTAAAATTATTAT